CCGTAGTCAGTGGGCTCAGTGGGGCTGCCGGTGAGCGACAGCACCTGTAGTAGAAGTAGAGGTGAGTGCATTGTGTCGTTGGCGATGTCGTGGCCCGACGAGTGGGCGTATACTGGTCGTTTATATAGCACGCACAGTGTGCTGCCGCCGAAAAGCGTCGACGATCCAGGTTGCCATCCGTGTTGGAAGGGTGGCTCCACTTTTGGCCAACTTTGTATGGAGCAGGCGGCCGGGCTTGTTGGCTCCCGTGCAGATCTTGCGGTGTCCATCGTTGGCATGCGCGACCGTAGTCAGTGGGCTCAGTGGGGTTGCCGGCGAGCGACAGCACCTGTTGTAGAAGTAGAGGTGAGTGCATTGCGTCGTTGGCGATGTCGTGCCCCGACGAGTGGGCGTATACTGGTCGTTTATATAGCACGCACAGTGTGTTGCCGCCGAAAAGCGTCGACGATCCAGGTTGCCATCCGTGTTGGAAGGGTGGCTCCACTTTTGGCCAACTTTGTATGGAGCAGGCGGCCGGGCTTGTTGGCTCCCGTGCAGATCTTGCGGTGTCCATCGTTGGCATGCGCGACCGTAGTCAGTGGGCTCAGTGGGGTTGCCGGCGAGCGACAGCACCTGTTGTAGAAGTAGAGGTGAGTGCATTGCGTCGTAGGCGATGTCCTGCCCCCTAATGTTCCGACTAAATTTAGCGGGAAAACTCTTCCGCTAAAATTGGCGGGGAAATTTTTCCGCTAAATTTTGCGTGGAAATTTTCTCGGTAAATTAAGCGGAAAAAATTTCCCGCTATATTTAGCGGGAATATTTACCCGCTAATTTTGGCGGGGAAATTTCCCCGCTAAATCTAGCGGAACATTTCCCCTCTAAATTTAGAGGGGAAATATTCCCCCTAAATTTAGGCGCCATGTGACGTCACGAGGGCGACGTTACACGTGACGTCACTTGTGACCATCTTGACGTCACACGAGACGTCCCATAATGCAACGTCCCATAATGCAACGCGCAGTTTCGCCGACGGCGACGCCGCTAAAATCAAAAACGGGCGCCTAAGAGCTGCGCTTTAAAAGAAAAAATATTCACACATCGAAAAACCCGAGTTCACTGCTTCTTCGATTGTCAATCCAGGGTCCTCGGCATGCACTTGCAGCTATAGGATGATAAGTACCCAGTTCGGTAGAGCAGCCATCCGTTTCGAAACCGGCGGTGCTGGTAATCGAACTTCGTATCTAACATTTTGTCCACGTGCAGTCGATGTTGCCAAACGCATGCGGCCGATACATCTGCATGCAGGGTCGGAAACTGACACTGTCGAGGCTGGTGTACCAGAAAAGCAACTAGGCATGACTGCGTAGCTTTTTGCGATATTTTAATACTTCCAACAGCGACATAGCCTACAGAGAACAAGTTGCATCAAAACATCGTTTGGATTGAATTTTCACTCGATGTTCAGTGCACGGAATGCAAACGATCGCTCAGGTATAGGCAGTCTATTGCATAAGATGCAGACTTGGGAATATTGCGTGATGGGTCAACAAATCCTTGCAAGATTAGTTAGCATTTGCAGCGAGTAGACGGTGCATGTTTAAATCAACGCCGTTGCTTGTGCCTTTAGAGCGGTAAATGCTAGCGAGCGCTTGCGCGCGCGAGCAAACATCAACAAAATAGCGCTCCAAAACCGGTAAAAATCCACACCACAGGTATTCCGCATTAGAACACACTCACAAAAATGAACGCGCGTTAACTTTTTCTCAGGAAGGATTCAATCACAGTAGTCTTCGGGAGGCGAATAATAACGCCATAAAACCGTCTGGTCATAATAATGTAGTGTACAATAAGATACTCAACGCGGCATTTTATTTGCGACAGGTCATGCTCTATGTGATGGTTCAATTTTCTGCTGACAGGTTTTTGCGGACCCATCATTGGCCGTTATTGGTCTACATAATTCCCGCGAGCTACTCGCGAGAAAAGTAGGCCAAGGTCAAAGAAAAAGCGAACGGACTCTCCGGGATATTCAAGTTTTCTCTGCACCGCGATCCCCATCTTTAAATAGTTAGACCAATGAGAAGGGGTGAGCTGTTACTTGACAACGGTTATTCGTTGTCGGTGGCAAGAGGGGTGCACGCCCTTTGCAACGTACTTTTTTGCGTTCTTACTCCACCCGCTTTGCATCCGGACTACACGCCCACTGGGCCGCGATATCGCTTGCCCCTCTGATTAGCTAAACTGATTAAAACGGAGACGGACGTCAGAACGCCTAGCTTTGATTGGAATGATTAGTGGGGAGACCTAGGGTGCCTTCATGTGCGCTTAATGATTGCTTCATCGGAATAACGGTTGTCGGACACCCGAGTCGTCCCGAGGCGGCTGGTTGAGGCCACTTCAGCCCCCTGGAGGCGATCTGGCGGCCATTTGGAGATAACGCTTGAGCTGGCAATCGCCTCTGTTTGTCAGCACTCGGTAGCGCGGAAGCGCCCTAAAACTCGTAAACGGCTCACTTTGGTCGCGTGCATTAGCAGCGCTCGTTGGAAGTTTCTGTGCACATTCGAAACATGGGTGCGTCTATCTGGCACTTGTCTAAGGTCAGCAAGTAGCTTTCGCATACAGTGTCTCTGGCACGGTGCGTTTAGAAAGGATATGCAACGGCTTGAATGCGATGTCCTCGCACAAGTCCGGTGGTCATTCCCTCTTGTTCTTGCCAAAAAAATATGCTGCCAAAGGTACTCGCTCGACAGCAAAGCCACCGGAACGGTCCTCGATGTAACGTCATTGCGAGTCATGCATTGATGCAGTCGTTTAGCAAAATTCCGTTGTTCCGCCGTAAGCGCGAGGTTGTGTTTATTGTCAGGTATGTGTTCGGGATCTTATGCCTTTGAGCGTGTACACGTAGTCAAAACAGCGGGCTTGCGATGGAGGCACAACGACTAAAGTTTCCTTTCTGTTTCCGATCCTTTGGGCGACTACGTGCATTGACTTCTTGTTCGGAAAAAAGCGCGATTTCTATAGGAACTGCGAGCACCGCGGATGTGTAGGAACCTCCTTTCGCAAGATCGATGTTCCTGCGCATCTCCCGTTCTGCAACAAGCACTTCGGAGTGACATCAACAACGTGACTTAATGCGCGCCTTTTATCGTCTCTCATTTTCCTTCCACTTTCGAATACGTGGCGTTCCTCGACGCTTCCCGAGTTCTGAATTTCGAAAAGTTTATTTAACGTTGTTGTTGTTTTTGGTGTTGTTGTTTTTAAGAAAGCGGGAGGTTATTGCCGTATCATTTTGTTCTGTCAGCTTTCGGATGGGAAGGTAACTTAATTCTGATAGCAGATGATAAGTCGTGACTGTCTTGTACATTTTTTTATAAGTTTTCAACGATTTACAGTTCTATAGCCTCGCTTACTGGGAAGTTTAAAAAAAATATATCCTCTACGATCAACTTATGGTGCTACATCACAAAAAGCGTGTAAATGAATGGGTTTCTATTTTTTTTTTTTTTTTCAACTCCAACTACGTTTGCTGCATGTTAAGTGAAAACGGTACGGAGCACATTTTGAGCGCCCGTCAGCCTAACTGCTAGAAAAGTTAAGCCCGGAGTATAGGTAGATTGACACGGAACCTTGCGAAAAATCTTTGTGTTGCCATTACGCACCTAGAACCGCATCACATATCTGCCAACGTATGTGTTTTCTGATCACTAATCCTGGCCGCGTACGACAGACAGCGTCCTTGTACTTAATTTCACCGGTAGTTTCAATCACTATTGAAACTTCAGGTTTCGAAGCGTACCCTCTAAAAACGGTCTGTTTCCGCGAGAACACGGGCCACGAATATACATTCTTAAGCAACGCGCTCGTTTTCATGACTTCCAAAGTTCTGCGCAAAGCTATTATGATAGAGTAAACCGTACGCAAACCCGAGCTGAACCAAAGCAGAACTGAGTGCATTGTTCCCAGGCAATCGAGGAGCCGCACAGACCACTTTGAAAATGTCCATGCATGTACTTTCCAGCAGAGCACTCGAAGAGCCAGCAAACTGCAACCGATGGGAAGAGCAAGGAAAACCAAGATAACGCAGCCTATAAATTAAACGTTAAATAAAAAACCTATAAATGAAGTATGAAATGTGAGACTGATATAAATAAGCATGTGAAACATCATGTGGCAGACCTTATTTGTCGGAACTATTTTGACTTCATCTGCGAATAGCATTCCTGCTGCTCTACTGGAAAGTAGAGATGCGGCAACTTTTAGAATGCATGCACTGTCATTTACTATGATTACAACTAGTAAATCACCACAGCAGGTTCACACTTGGATGTCCAAATGGGCCAGACCAGCGTTCCTATATAGCCGCTTGTTGTTCAGGATGTCTTTCGATGTTTAATGTACTTCCCGCAGACATTCACAGAAACATCACCGAGGGCCTCGTACCATCGTGAGGGGAGCTTGTCATCATAGTTTGCAAACCGGAACCAACTACGCTGCTCGCAACGTTGTCGCATTGTTGAGGAAGCGCTCATTAATAATCACATTGAGCGGCGACATCCCCGAAGCGTCTCAGGATCATCAAGTGGTCTTTGGCTACCCACGTGAGCGGTAAAACGTTGGTGAACTGCCGCCCAAATGGGACGTTGATATCGACAACTGCGTCCCATCTGAAGAAATCACCAAAGTATAGCCAAAGCTGGCAGAGAGAACTTGAAAGGGAATCTCCTAAAAACATTCGAGTGGCAGCCGAACATCCGCCGAAGGACTTGGCATAACTTCTTTGGAAGTTCGCGCTCAGCGAAACGTCGGCTGCCGCTCCTGGACCTTTCAAGAGGTTCCCTTTTATATGTGGGCCTCAGGGAAAACATATAGAAAAACAAAGCTTGTTGATGACCCAGATCACTATTCACCCCCGTAGAACTCGTTGTTGGCTGGTGTCAGTGACAGTGTAAAATGGTCATCAAGTAGTTGTAGATCCCTCTGCGAGCGGATGTTCGCCTAGTGTTTGCCAACTTCTAGAGGCGTCATAGGATGCGGCACCGATCCGTCCTCGCAGGGTCGCCGACACCCCGAGCTCCTGGACCTCCGCGGTCGTCGAGGGCGCGGACAATCTCCCGGAAGAGCATGGTCACGTGCCAGTTGTACTTTGCCGAACACTGCACGTAGCCGCAGCGCCAGTGCTTCTTGACGAGGCCCGCCACCTCGCGGTGTTCTCGGGGCTCACCCAGGTCGTGCTTGTTTCCCACCACGATGACCGGCACCCCCTGCATGTTCCTGGACTCGAACATCTGATCCCTCATGCTCTTCACGTACTGGAACGTCTCCGGGGCGTTCAGGTCGAACACGAGCACGTAGGCGGACGCGCTGCGGAGGCCGTAGTAGCGGAAGTCGGACCACTCGTAGAAGGAGTTGACGGGGAAGTAGGGCACCACGGGCAGGTCGGTCACCTGGAGCTCGTACAAGCGGCCGTTCACCACCACCGATGGGTGAAAGATGCGTCGCGTCTCGGTCGGCGAATACGCCTCCGAGAACTCGCTCCAGACGAACTGGTGGATGAGGGACGTCTTGCCCACGGCGGGCGCGCCCAGGACCACCACCTTGACCAGGTTCATCCGGGCACCGGCCGCCTGGGGCTCTGCCTGCGCTCAAGCCTACGTATAAGCACAAGCGCGAGAAATGAAAACCAATTGCCGTCTGCTGAGTGCTTGAAACCACTGAAAGGCCAAGAGTGGTTGCCAATGCTTCACTAAATTTGAAAGAGCACAGAAAAGCATGTTTATGCATCTCTAGATCTGCAAAGGTGCGCGACATATAAGGCCCCAGCAATCGAGGGAAATATATCTCTCTAATCAGTTTCTTCAATAAGAAGGGTGACTGGTATCGCGCCTCAATAATGATGCAGTCTCATACCGCTCTTTCACGGGCATTTAAAAGGACTTCAAACCGAAGGCCTTTATCAGCCCCAATCCCGAGTTCGCACGTGCCCTCGGCGTGAACTAGTATGCGCATTTCATAAAGGCCTTCGGTATTGAGGCCTTCCATACGGCCGTGAAACACGGGTATACTAGCGGCAGAAAGCCATCCACCTCTTGGGCACTGAGCCCACGTGCTCATTAGAGCATAACACCGCGTTAGCACTTCTCCTTAGTCGAGCTGTTAAAAAGAATTGTTAATGTTCCCAGTGCGTAGCGGTGCAGTATGCAGTCGGGAACTTCCAAGAGTACAAGAAAGCCAATTTTAAAAATACACACCATAAAAAAACAGATGCCCCGCTGTAGAAGCTAGCGAAGCTGACATATCACACTTCAGAATAGGCACCTGGCGGGTCGTTATATTGTTGCTAACGAGGACTACGGCCGGATCGCACTGATACCGGCGTGTCCACTCGATTCGTCTCTGCAGTAATGACGTCAAAATTACAGGAGTTGTAGAAATTATTCTAAAAAAAAACTGCGTGTACGACCACGCGACGTGATCGGCGATACTGAGCCGTGATTAACAGAAAATTCCGGTGATGTTGCGTCGCGTGGCGTGTCACGCAAAGCACAACCGATTGCACACAGAACAGTTATCACCAAAGAGGTACTCGAGGACGCGCCACACAAATTGCTCGATCCCATAAGCGTGTGCATTCTTCGCTCAGTAACGTACTCTTCTGCGTGCCGCATCATGTTCGCACACAGCGGGATCTTGACGTCGCATGCGTTCCATCCTAACACCCAGGCTGGAACCGTCGACGCCTACACATCGACGACGTTTTCTCTCAATGGCACGTTTACGCCGTCGAGCAGCCGTTGCTTGCTCCGGCGTATGCTGGAGTCGCCCCATTATTGCGCACAAAGGCTTAGAACGCCGAGGAAACGGGCGACCGAAGGCGAGTTGCGTGATCACATGACACCCAGCGTAACCCAACTGTAATCACCCTTTCCCGGCGCCAAAGGCACCTGCGATAAACACGACACTCGCCCAATACAACAAGCCCCGTATACAGCTGACGCTGTAAATTCACTTGAAACGTTTTTTGACTTGGTGTTCGGCATTCCATGAAGCACAAAAGTGAAACCTAGATAAAAGCGTGGCGGCGAAACTCGACACTGATTGGTTTTTAGGAAAGGGAATGTTTCGTCGCAAACGGGTGTGTTTGAAGGATGCTCGAGGAAGGGCGCACAAGTGTCGGCCGTAAAGGAGGAGCCGGACGGCCGTCCACGACTGATGACAACATTGAGTGTGCACGTGAACTGACTTTGTGGAAGAAACGACCGTGTGGCAAATCGTTTTTAAACCAAGCAAGGCTCCTCCTACGCAATAATTTGTCTATGACAAACTTGAGTTTTGAAATGTTTGTGCGAGATAAGTGCTGAAACGTTTGTGGGAATGATTTTTTTATCACCATCGTACATAGCGTTAAGAATATTTCACTCTTAAAGGGGCACTCAAGTGGTTTCAGAGATTGTCTATTTATAATCAGAACTCGATCTACGGGCCGTAAGCATCATAAAAGACCCAAAATTACACTGGACGGCTGATTTCTCTATTTAAAATGAAAGACGTTTAGAGATCACTGTAATGCGAGACTAGAGCGCAGCTTTTCAGGAGGAAGAGGGGAGGGTACGGAGGGGAGGGTATTCCCCTCCTCCTTCTCTTTTCCTCCTCCTCTCCTCCTCCCGCTGAATTCGTTCATGGGTGACGTGACACTAAGCATGTGACGTCATTTTCCCCGCTAAATTTAGCGAGGAAACTGAATTAGTGTTGAGGCCACTTGACGTCAATTTCCGCACTAAATTTAGCGGGGAACTTAACCCGCTAAATTTAGCGGGGAAATTGCCGCCACGTGACCTCAACACCAATTCAGTTTTCCCGCTGAATTTAACGGAGCGATTACGCCGACGGCTACGTCGCGAAACGCACCAACGGGTGCCTAAGAGCTGCGCTTTAAAATATAATCAAAAATGGTGACACTCGTTTCTTTCTGCGCCTTGGAGCAGACACCAGGGGGCACCGTCGGACGACGCTTACAAACGGTAATTACTGTACTACGTCTCCTACCCACCCAAAGATTTGACTTTTTCTAAAAACGTAATGCACAACGCGCCTAATGAGAACAATATTATTAACGTTATGCGTCTACACGCAATTAACTATTTACATTGGTCAAATTGTATGGAGGTAATGGAGACCCACGAGTTAATGCCGCCGCCTTCAAAAGAAAATAGTGCCCGTGTATTTTTTTCGCTGCGAGTTGACTCGAACATCTGGCCATCTAGAGCTTGTCATTGTTACTGATTAATGCCCAACAGACAATATGCCATCGATAACAAGCTTCTACAAAAAGCACTTGAGTGGCCCTTTAATATAGTTTCGCGTAATTAACTTTCTAACTAGTGAGCATAAGCAAATTGAACATAGTTACAGTTGCGCACACAGGGACAAGGACAAAGAAGAGGAACACTGTTCTCCGTCCTTGTCCCTGTGTGTGCAACTGTAACTATGTTCAATGACTACCAACTCGCCCAACTGTCTACTCTACTAAAGCATAAGCAAATTCATTGAAACTATATGTTTATTTTTCGTTAACCAAAAAGTTAATTGGGGAAGCCTAGCTAAGAAGTTAAATGTCTTAAATGAAATCTACCTCACGAAGTTGGACAATTGATAGCAAAGCATAAAGCCTGAATTGTTTTTATCTTCGATGAGCAGTTGTTGGACTGTTTGGCCGGTGTCCATAAAAAAACACTCGGTTTCTATCGCTCTAATTCCATGCTTTAGAGCGGTTTTGTCTTAGAGCGACTCACCTTTACTCGCTGCTAAGACAGGGTCACGAAATACACCGCTCCCTGGGAAGAGCGGGCGCCTCTCCTCGATCCAGTCCACAGCGCGCTTTCTCGACACAACTGCGCACCGTCATGTTAGCAGTCCGGGCGGGTTGGTTGAGATTCCCCCGGCCTCCACCGCGGGAACTGGAAAAAAGAAAGCTATTAAAGACGCGCGTGACCAAAAGCCTCACTCCGGTCGGCAGTCGCGATTGACCACATATGTGTATACTGATAATGCCTGCCCAATCGCCGGCTCACGGCGAAGCAAATCCGGGTCGTGACGTCACGAAACGAAACCATAAGTGGGAAGGGAACTCCCGATACATATCCACGCTAATATTTATCTTAGTTAAAACCACCAGTGGAGTCTAGAGCCACACGCCGTTTACAAACAAGCCCGCGTTTTCAAGCACCGCACTGCGCACATGCCAAGTTCGGGAGAAGCGTCTCCGCAGTGCCGACAGCCACCGCAGTGGCATGTCGTCAGAGAGCTGAGTTGGTGTTGGTTGCTGTATACTCCTTTCCCTTGTAGTCGTCGCCATCTTGAATGTGACCACCATCTCGAGCATCTACAAAAGCCCGCCCAATCCGCCTTCCAGTCGGGGCACGAATACCGCTGGAACTGTCATAGTTCATCTACTGCAGGTACTCCTGGCCGCTAACCTTGGGGTCGCCCTACCCGCCTGTCGGTCAGGTCTGCCCCTCTTCGACTGCCTCGGAGACACGCCTGCCTGGACCCTTTCGTCGCTGGACGAGTGGCTTTTGAAGCCGCCACTTCGAGCCGGCCAAACTTTCACCCCGCTGAACCTGTCATTCAGCCGTCTCGACGTTCGGCACCCAGGGGCATCATGTGACCCACATCGCGAGCATCTACAAAAGCCCGCTCTACCCGCCTTCGAGTAGGGGCACGACATTACCACTGGAATGTCGGAAAAGTACAGGGTGACCCAAACAAAAAAACACTTTTTTTATTGCAAAAATAAACTCGGCATCGCCGAACGCTCATTCTCCGCCCAGGGGTAGCGCTAGAGGGCACAACCAGATGCCAAAGTTTCAGCCCGAGCCGATACCTTATTCGAAAGTTATAAGTGATTTTCTAAAAAATTCAATGGGAAAATGGCGGCCGACGGAGTTTTCGGATACATGAGGCTCTATGGCACAACAAACCGAAAACGGAAATAAACGGGCTCCAGTTTCCTATTGAAATTTTCAGAAAATCACTTATAACTTTCGAATAAGGTATAGGATCGGGCTGAAACTTTGGCATCTGGTTGTGACCTCTAGCGCTACCTTTGGGCAGAGAATGAGGTTCGGCGATGCCTAGATTATTTTATCGGTAAAATAAACCCTGTAAATATCTTTTTGTGACACCCTGTACCCTACTTACCTTACACAGTACACTACGTCATTTAGATGGGAACGAAAGCAGTTCTGTATTTGAGGAAAAGCACCTAATTATAAAACTACCTTCACTCCTCAACATCATCTTCGAAATATCCTTCCCGCACTTGCTTAGGAAGATATTAACAAGACCTGTTAAACGCTAAAACCGATTCAACCTTTTTAACATACATGCCTCCATCGAAGGACCAGAAAAGTATTACTCAAATACAAACATAGCAATTCAAGGAAGCCTTCGACAGTCGTACCGCATGAGTTTCCGGATATTTCGGAGAGGTTGTTGAGGAGTGAAGGTAGTTTTAACATTTTCAGGTACGTATATGATTTTCTTATCTTCGGACGCTTTTTTGATCACTCTACTAGCGATGTCATGGGAGTGCTGAATGTGTTTCGTTCTT